AGAATGCGTTACATGGTATCCATATATTACGAAACTTGTGGATAATTTTTTGTTTTCTTTATATTGCCTATTAGTAATTGTCGGGTTAAAATACTATTTATATTAGTAAGGTAATATATTACGACATGTAAGGTACCTTGTTAAGTTAATTGGATCATTTCACTAGTACGATGTCCTGTTACGTTATTTTTATTCAAGCACAAGGGAGAACTGACCCCCCTCCCCCTTGATTACCGGTTGGCTACACCTTTAGTGCGGGCACACACCTTTAAATAAACTATCGCACAGTTTTTGTGCGATTGTCAATTGTTCCGCAGCCCATTCAACTGTTTAGTTGCACGAAAAATCTAGTAGTGTGTCCAATCAAAGCGCTATTAAAATGTTGTTCGATTTACTCAAAGGCGCGCTCTTATATGAGACTACGTCTTAAAAGATAACTTCAAAAGCGTTGTTATAGATAATATTGTAGAAGCCTTTTCGTATAAATCTAGCACAGTTACTGTTCCACATTTGTACGATCGATTCGCTAGATGTCGCTGACGCAAGATAAGCCTATTGTCAAGGAACACAATACAGTTGTTCAACAACGTAACTAGACACCCCACAGTCAGCAAATATCAGATATCAGACAGATTCAAACAAGAAGTTATATTAGAATATGTTCAAACACGCTGGCAACTTCGACAATGTGAAAGTAAAAAACAAAAAACATACAGGCAAATTGAGAAGGTGGCCCTTTGTGGAAGTTAGTTTAAAAATTCTCTTCCATCTATCTCAGTTACTTCCTGATGGAAATCCAATCCGATCTAGACATTTGTGAGGTAATTTGGAAGTAACGCGGACTGGTAGACGGATAGACAAATCATACTAATATTATAAATGCGAAAGTTTAGATGGATGAACGGATTTCTATTTGGCAGAGAGGTATAGGATAGTCTGGAAGAAAACATAGGCTACTCAGTTTTGTTTTTTAATTACACGCGGACGGAGTTGCGGGCGAAAGTTAGTAAATTTAAATAATAACAAATGTTACAATATAACAAACACTGCAATTTTATTTATCTGTACTGAATTTTATGTGTAACAAGACGTAGGGTAAATTGAAAACTACTTAAGTTGTACACATGCTAAGTTAGATTAAGTTAAAGTGTATTTGTGTAGTGCAATCTTAAGTTAAGAAATCACTAAGCTTAGCTTCACTCAATGTTGATTACTAAGAAAGACCTAAGTATTTCCATTTTGTAAATGTAATTAGTTAGTGACAAAGAAATGTTACAAAACTAATAAACATTATTAAAAAAATACTGCTTTTTCTGTTTGTTTTAAAATGATATATTTTCTTCAAGGATTTAATAGTTTTCGAGTGTATCTTATGTTTTCTTCAGCATCCCGAGGGACGCATCAAATGAACATTGGTCCTTGTAGCCAGATAAAGTATTCACGCGGCTTGCGTTTATTCGCTAAGCGACCGCTCCCTAGGGAGCACGTAACTGGTATCTTCCCTAAGTGATACATTTCTGACCTTGGCTTTATCAAACTTTAATAGATTTGGGGCCTATCTCACCACTGACTGATAGACTTAGATAGCTTAAAAATGACGCCATTTTCAGATAAGGGAACAAAATCAGATATTTCTATCACATATTTAATACTTGAAGAAATAGTCTCGCGAAATTTGTAGAAACTCATTTTTTATGTAGATGTCATTTATGAAATAGCAACAAAAATCGAGCGCATTTTATTAAAAGGTTTTTAACGATCTAAAGTAAAAGTGAATAGGAAAAAACCGATGAAAAAACAAGCAAACCATTTGTGTGAATGTTTTAAAAACGAACAATATACTATACGCACATAACCTATAAATATACCAACATAATTTTAATTACGCATTCCGCTCACAATGCGCGCGTTACTCCGCTTGTACAAATAAATAGTGGGCGGCCATGACGCATCTCAGCGCCATCTGTTGACGGGCGGGAGTTTTATTTTACTCCGATACTCAAAAAGTCTATATAAAATTTATTGTACGGAATATTTCTAAAAAAAACCTATGCTTTTGTACTGTGATTAATAGTTACAGTTTTAATAAGGGGTTAAAATAACATAAGAGACAGTTATAAGTATAAAAAAAAAAATCTTGGTGGGTATCTTATCGATATTCAAAAATTTCAACTTTTAAATTGCTCAAAAAATTTTAAACCAAAGAAATACCGATTCAAATAATGCAATACAATTTTTAATAAACGAAGTTTACGGTTGTTGAGAATCTATCATAATAAAAAATAATAATTTGTCCCCATTCTGCATGCGAACAGTGACCCGATGACCCCAGTAAATGTCAGGGGTCAGGGGACACCACAGTGCTTACGGACTTGCGCAAATATAGATTCAGCGAATTTCTATCAATGCAATTTATTAACTTACAACATTCATACCATCTATTAGATTTCTAGGTTATAAAACTAAGGGCCTGTCCCACTACTGACTGATAGAATCTCAGACAGCTTAAAAATGACGTCACTGCCAGATAAGGGAACAAAATCCGATATTGCTTTCACATATTTTACACGTTGGATTGTTTTCTGACAATTTATAAAATTTTTACTAGGATTGGAAGTAAAATTACTATATATTATCTCTCAAAGACTAGATGTTCCCGTGCTGCTTCGGCTTGATTTTGAATTTCAAACACGACATTTTTTTCCAAATGATTTACCTTACCTTAATTAAATAACGTGAAAATATATAGCCATAGCATGCATAGTGTAGGATTTTTTTATTATAGTAAAAATTACTCGAAAATATGCTGTGATTGCTGATATTGTGGGTAACAAAGAGTGTGTTTGCGCTTTATTACATTAAACTAGATAATGGAAATTCCATTTTAAATGTCAGTTATAATAATAATATAGATTCTTTATTGTAAATCAATGATTACAGGATCAATATCGCTTTGGCTCCTTAACTAGGAAATCCTGTGTTTAAGGAGCCAATGCCTTCCCTTTCAGGTACATATAATGACAAAGAGAAAAAAAACATAAGTATCGAAACCATATAAATTACAGAAAAAATAAACTCACTGTTAATTAGTAATAATAAACTGAAGTTATCTTTAACGTTTTAAAACACATTGCATTTAAATTTAATTTAGCTGAATGACTGCAATCTCTTGGATTGTTTCTCTGTTGTACGCGAGACCAGTCTATAAATAATGTTCAAATATGCGGCAGTGTCTGAATGAGATATGTTATAAGCTCGTGTGACATTGGCATTATTTGAGGTATAACCGTGGGTTTTCATTGACACACCTGTACAACGTTCTTCTTATTTACATTATACATACTTACGGATAAAATTCAAATTTGTCATGACTAAAGTTCAAGTCGTTTGTAAAATAAAAACGAAAACTCACAGTTATATTTTAATTAATTTGTAATACTATATTAGTTACTAGCTGTTGCTCGCGACTTCGCTTACGTAAAAAAAAATTATTATAAATGTAGCCTATATTACTCACTGATAACGTAGCTAATGGTGAAAGAATTTTTGAAATCGGCAAAACAGTTTTTTTAGTGTTCTCAATATATACAAAAATACAAATCTTTCTTCTTAATAATATTAGTATAGATTTGTTTAATAAAAAAATAACGATTAATTTACAATCGATTGATTTCGTAGGCAAAATAGTTAAGTTGGTCTACGCAGGTCTACGTCGTAGCTAGTAAGTTCGATAAAAACCGAAATGTAACATTTATATTGTGGAAATTATGTACTTCACGATTAGTATAATACTATTGGACAGAAATACTCTTCTAAAAAGCCGTAAAATAATTAGTTATAGCGCTTTTGTCAAATGCTCAGTTATACAATTTAGGTTAGGTTTTTAAATAACACCGGTTACTTGTATACACGTTTTTTTAGAATTAAATTTTAAAAAATCTTTGAACATTATAAGCTAGAGAGATTTACAATAGGTTATACAAAAAATGTAATTGTAACATCATAGGCGTAAAATAATAGATTTTGAAATATCATTGATATAATTAAATTTATTGTTTTGTATAACGGCGTTTTGTGAGTTTTCTGTACCGTAAAATATTGGTATTACTAAAAAACTTACACACTGAAAAGCCAAAAATCAATATAGTTTCTATAAAAACCACGATGTAGATGAAAAAAGTTAACCAGTATTTTAGAAATAAGGCGTTCCCTTTTAACCTTATTTTCAAATAAAATGTGTTAAGTAAATATACATAATGTTATCTTTTATCAAGAATAAAAGGATGACTTTTAAACTATACATTTTTAACTGATGCATATATCTATATAGAACTAGTATGTACTAGTTTCTACATACTAAGTTTCTGCCGTTTCCACGTTTTCAGTGAAAAGTCGATAGTCAATAGACCAGTGGCGACATCTATAACGTTTACATTCCAAACGTTACATTTTCTAGGTTAGCGAACTAAAATTATAACAACTCTGACCTAGTGACGTATTAACAATATCTTGTTATTGAAATACTTTTTTCTAATTGTATTAAAATGCATCACTTTAATGATTATAATTTAATGGTTTTAATGATAGTGGTACAAATGTGTGACGATAGTTTTTCGATGTGAATGTGCTTGTGGAACGGGTTCGAAGTATTATTGCGGGAAATTATCGCTGGGTGTTCACGAGCGACAGCTCGTGTTAAATATATCTTACGTGTTTTGCTCGCCGGAGCGCACCTAGCACTGGCCGGACACTCCCGACTGTCGTGACCGGACCACAGTCACATTACGGCATCGTCAAGCGACGCTAATTCAATATCACACAAGAAAATCATCTTGCCCGAGTGAAACAATAACGCGCGATCCTTACATAACTCCCGCTCGGCATAGGGAGATGTGCCACGCGAATAGCGCCCCTAAGAACGCCGTCCCAGCGGCGCTCCGTGCGACTATACCGTGTTACAGAGCTGCGCCGGCGTTTGCAACCTTGAATTCAGAACGCACCTTTTAATTTTAGCCGGTTAACCTAGATACGGGCACCGAATCGAGTGCGCTGGATCGATATTCGCATGCGCGGTGTCTCGTTTTAAAATAGTACGGCGGGTGTGGTGCGGTGCGGCTGCCGGGCGAGGTGTGGCGGCGCCCGACGCTCGCGGACGACTGCCGCCCGCCGCCGCCGCGCACGCGCCCTGCCTCCGCCCAGAGCCCTGCGCCCTCGCCCTGCGCCAGCACGTAACGATCGTTCTCGCTGGCCTCTCACTACCAACGAGAGATCGCTCCGAGAACAGGTGTGCTCTGCCCCAAGCCTGCAACTATTAAATCCCTCTTACACCAGCTCGACAATCTCACCTGACAGACGGCGTGATAATTCCATTTCTATGAGAAATCTCATAGACGCGTCTGCGCCTGACTTAGAAAAATAGCAATTGATAGGAAAAGTGTTTTCTTTCTATTCACCTCATGAAGCGCCTACGTTATACGCTACGTGATGTTTAAAGCTTTACAAATAATATTTCCATCAACTAAATCACTTCAGCTTATTTGTATAATAGTGAAAAAACAATTTTCTTACGTAGTACATGTGACGCCTCTAGCGGTGAAAAGCCAAACTAAACCAAAATCTTAATAAGGCTGTTATTTTAATGAAAATCTTTTAATGAATAAAATTAAGGGCAGATATGCAAAAAAAGCTTTAATCAGATGGACATGCTAATGATTTTTATTCAGTAATTTTGAAATTTGCATTGAACTGAAAAATAGGTCAGGTCGAGTACAATTACTCGTAATTAAAAATCTTGTTTTTACTCAGTTCTCGTACTATTCATTAGTAAAAGATTTTTTTTAATTAAGCAAAAAATTCAACACTTTTTTTTAAATCTTTTACTTATATTAAATGATATACTTTAGTTATCATTTTTCATTCATTGGAGTAGTTGCTTAGCGAATCATACTTGTAGCTCCATCTATTATCAGTCTATTAAAACTAAGGCACGATATTTTCAGATTCCTTTTGAAAATGTTAAAAGCTATTTTGCGCTCAAAAGCCTTCAATTTTTTGCATTTAGTTTTAAATTCTATTTATTATTTACTTCGACAATGTTAATAATGTTTTAATAACATTATTATTTTAAAAAGAAAATAATAAAAAACGTTCAAATAAAATAATATGATTTATTTTTAAATTAAAACGGTCATTTACAACTGAGCATAACAATGAATCACGCGAGAATTTTATTATGGGCCGACGTCAGCTGATGTCTAGGGGAGGCAGCTATGGTCCTATTTGAAGTATTTTTTTTATTTTTACATTTTCCGTTTTTTTAAGGTAGAGGGGAATACAACTGCCCTGTGGCGACGTCTATAATTATTAGTTTAACATTTAAAGTACAAATAAAACTTAGTAACAATAGAAAATTACTTTAACAAATAACTTGTAAATGATTATACACACTTAAAAAAGTCAATTTCAAATTCATTTCTAGTCTTCTGTACATTTGATTAAATACGTTAAAACAATTAAAAAAAATCCGATTTATACAAATAAAGATACATTTTACATTTACAAAAGATTATTAAATATACAATTTGTACATAAAATTACATTAATTTGCAAATATACATAATAATAACAAAAAGACAAAAACTAACAATAAATTTTATTCACTACTATTAAAAACACAAATTACAAAACAAACAGAAATCATTTATGTAATTTTATTTTATTACCCGACTGACAAAGTATGTAAGTTTTCACGTGGGTTTGTATGTAAATTTCATTATAACAGCCTATAGCCTACACTTCTGAACAGATTCTGACGAATAAGGTGGTATTCAATTCGATTTCTTCTTTTTTTTAACATAGGGTGGCAAACGAGCAAGCGGCTACCCGAATCCGCCAAAATGGCGAAGTGACCGCTGCCCATACATCCGCGATTGCAGACGTGTTGCCTACCCTTATCCGACGGAGGAGGAGACGCACATAAAGAGGATATTACCCCTTCCTATGCATCTCCTCCACTGTCAAATCCACCTTCCCTTCCCATTCTCTTCTTATGAGAAAAGGGTGGTAAGGAGTAAGGGAAGTAAACACGGAATTACTTCCACTTCACGCCTGTCTTCTGTGTGGTCGTGGTATTACACCGGGCGTGCCGGCCCATTCGTGCTAAGATGTTAAAGCGGGCACTACCACTGTAAAAGTGGTAGTCAGAGTGTCATAGAGTCACATCGGGACAAAATACCTACAATGGACGTGATACAATTCCAAAAACATAATGAAAACGAATTCAAATCCCAGTGGCTGTTTATTTTAGAGTATCTGTTAGGATTAGTCCGGTATTTTGCTTTAAAAATAATTTTAGGTAAAAATAAAAATAAACATTAAAAATAAACCAAATATAAATAGGAACAGAATTTTGTGCTGAAAATGATTAGCTTGCTAATTTAACAATGTTTTTGTGTTTCTTTCCCATGGATAGATTTTAATATTATGGTGATATCTGACGTCAGAGGTCTTTAAAAATATAGCCAAAAAATTGTTATCATTGTTACTCTTTCCTTATTTTATGAAGTTAATGTTTATTTACCTTTTTACTAAGAAAAGAGTTCAATGTTTTATTAGTTAACTAAAGTTGTTTTTTTTAAATCCGCGATTAACAGTTGCCAATAAAATCTTTACTAACATTGCGATTGGTGTTTTAAAATCACAGATACATTAGGAATATTAGGAATTAACGAACTTTAATGTTCAGTAACTTTACTAAATTGACAATTAATTTACCCTAAGGAATCATACATTTGTGTTGTCTTTTATTATAAAAGTTGACCCCACAGTAAGAGAAAATAATACGCGTTAGGGTTTCAGTGATGAATAGTCATCAGTAAGAGCCGCTAAGTGTAGTTTAAGTATTGAAATGCAAAATTATTATTAAATCAATTATCTTTGAATTACAGAAGGAATGGATTACCATCAATAATATAAATGGACAGGCTACAAGCCGCGGTATTTATAAGAATTTTATTTTCGCCATTTTAGCGACGATGATCACAGTTACCGGTAATGACAATTCGAACATTAACAGCGTTTTAATTGGAACTAACAAGTTGGAAATAAAAAATGTAGAAATCAGTTACTAGGGGTCAACTTTGAATGGTTATCTGTTAGAAGCTAAAAACCGCATAACAGCGTTTTACTAACTGCCTACAAACTACATAACAATTTATATACATTAATTCTCATATCACATTCATTCAAAATACCTTAAAACTAACATTTAATCGTCTGTCTCTTTCACACTTTCAAAATTCTTGTATAAACATATTGATGTTGCCATCTCTTTCATCCCTATAGATAAATAGAGATAAAACATATTTCAATACAAGTATTTCGTCAGTGGAATTAAACTATGATTGAATTTTATTTGGAATTATACAAGAAAGTAATTTCTTTCTTTTATTACTCAAATGTTAAATAAAATATGGTCCACGGATAATTATAGGAAATTAGTGAATAAACTGTTTTTGTTAATATAAAAAAGGTTTTATTACTCCTGACATTTATAAATAGCAAAATTCTCTCATAAATTATTGCTATTTAATATTAGGTGACTACAATAATTTGAATTAAAAATTGTCATAAAAAATATAAGTTTAAATGAAACAAAAAGTATATTTGGCTATTTTTATGTTGTGTCAATTTATTTCTATTATATAAATCGTAACAAAAAAACAAACTAAATTTGATTTTGATAACATATCTTTAACAGTATGATTAACAATGTTATTTCATTCAAATTTGATTCATTCCACTAAAATAGCTACATTTTAGTTGGTTATTAAAACCTAAATAATATAACAATAAATTATTTTAGGCCTCTTAATACTAAATTGCTTTTATTGTACTCGTAGCTAAAACTAATTGCTAAAACTAAGCGTAAGTCTATAAACATAAAACTAAGAACTTTTGTATATACATATCGTAGTCAAAACCGAGATTTGTCATACAACACAAGTATTGTTCTATCCAAACTTAAAACTCGCTCACATGTACATAAAATAACGCAGTAATTTAGATATGAAGTAACAGCTAACCACGAGCCTCTATAAATTTTGAATCTTATTATACCTTAATTATTAAGAAGTGGGAGGTTCAAGAATTTTAAATTACAATCATATAAGAACTTTGTACTGATTATTTTGAGGTTTTAGTACAATATAAGGAAATAACTAAATTTATCGATTTTGAAAACGATATTTTTATTGATGGAAGATGTTTAAATTTTCCTATCACATTTACAATCGAAATATCGTCCCCATACTGTGATATATTAATAAAAAAAATATAAATACAAATTATTTACATAATTTACTATAAATGCTACAATTGGCGATTAACAATCGATATGAAGTCATGCGCGAACAAAGTACATCACTATTTCAAAGTTGTTTTTCAGTCAGATTGCGTGGAACGGAACGTTTTTTATAATCTATGGTTTAACGCAAGCTGTCACAAACATAAACCAAAAAACCAGAGAGTCATTTTTTAATATCATTTATTGTCTACAATGTCGAAGATAAAAACGCAATTTTTAATTAAACCACATTTTTTTTGGGTTTTATATCACAGGTAGCAGCGTCCATAAATATGGAAAGGGTTTATCCTTCCCCAAATTCCCAAAACACAATAATAAAAGGAATATACCGGATTAACAAAGTCCAATTATTTCATTTTATACCTTTAATTGGCACTGAATTAATTACAAATTAAAAAAAAAACTGTAAAACTACAAAATACTGTAAGGGTAACACTATAATTCCAAACGTCAAACACATTTTTCCTTTATTAGTCTTAAATTTAAAAAAATATTAAAAACCATTTATCCTTTGGTATAATCCAATCTATCACTCGTAATAGAAGCATTAAAACTTTAAGAATATCTCATTATTTTGGATATTTATTTAACCGGGTACATTATTTCCGTATTGCAGACCGAATATAGACAGAATAACAAACGCAAGACCTAGGAACACTGACCCTAAGAGGTCACCGAGCGCCGTCAAGTAGGGGATAGCTGCATTATCTGGATCCTTCTTCCTCTTCCACATGAAATGAATCAGCATATACGCCAAATATAAAAGCACCATAACCTAAAAATACAAATAAATTATTGTAAAAGTTGAACTTGTGAGGTAGAGGCCTAATTTTAATCCTTCTCACTGTCTACCCTTTTCTTATAGACAAGGATAGAAAGGGTAAGTGGATGAGACGGTGGACGAGTCGTAAAGTAAGGGGACGTATCTTTGTTCGCGTCTCTGCCTTCGTCAATTAAGGGTAGGCAACATTTGCAACTGCGGATCGCCATTTTGGCGGATAAAGGTTGCCATTTGTTAGTTTGTCATTTTAAAATACTAAAAGTATTTACAAAGTTCAACATCTTAATCCGTTTTGTGATATAAAAAGTACAAATTTCAACATTTTCTTTCCTGTTTTAAAGGCATATAGGTGGATTTGTAACAATTTAGCTTCTTGGAGAAGTATATGACAATCACTTTTATTTTGAGCCACACAAATCAGCTGTTTTGTAACGTTCTGTAAGAGTGGTTATCAGTTTACCTACTACTGAAGGTCTAATTTAACCACGGGCGTCGCCAGCTAATGACTTAGGCTAGTCATAGGGGTAGCTACAAAAATTGGTCTTTTCGCGACGGTTTTTTCATCTCTTATATATTTTTGACATCTCTAGAAGGAGACACCCCTCCCTATCACTTGTCCAATTCCAATCCTTAAACAACATTATCATTGATTTAAAACAGAATGTTTACAAACCTGCAGCATGGAGCACAAGAGGTATGTCAAGCCGAACGCAAATTGTATACTGACGAGCCCTTGATAGATGAAGTCTGCGACTATCATGAACACGACCTGCCCGCAAAGAGCCAGCACTAACAGCATACGAGCCACTTTAGCTGCAGCAGCTGTAAAAAACATTAATCCTATTAAGGCAAGGCTTCACCAAACGCATCTTTGGAAGCTTGGAACAGGATACAAAGATTTGATTCGTGATATTTTAGTATGTAACTTCATTCATTTAACTAAAATCTACTTATACTCACTTCCAAAGAACAGCGTCTTCCATGGCCATTCTACTATCCTGGTGTTCTCAGGCAATATGCCGAGGATAGCCGTCTGATGGAGATGCGTGGTCAGCCTCGAAGACTGCACGCATACCAGGTTACCTCCGATACCGTTTACAATCGGCTGGAACACTTCATAGCCTTGGTACTTCTCGACAGCTTGGTCCAGAACTATACCACCAATACTGAAAAAGATAATTCATTTTTAAACAAACTACCAAAAGATTGTGAAATAGGCAATATTTTTATGGTGTACTTATTTTTATTTGAAGGTAATTTAACATCAATCTTAGATAGATTTAATTAGTCTTTATTCCAATTCGTTAGAGGAAGAATCGATTTCCAAATAGATATATGCGCCGAGAAAACCTCATGCATAACCTATAAATTCTGGAAAATTCTAGAACCCACGAACGTGCAGATAAACCATTAATTACAGATAGAGGTCGCTACAGACAGTGTCACTGTCAATGTCTGTTTGTTCACGTGTTTCTGACGTTGTTTACTTTATGCCAGCCGTAGTAAGACATTATATTATAAATATACACTTTACTCTAAGACATTATAGATATACTCTTACTAACTTAACTGGCCCGGTAACTATTAACAATTCATACCCAGTTTGATATCACAAGAACTTTAACATAATACTAGCTGTTCTCCTGCGACTTAATTCGCATGAAATTATGAAAATTGTTTTATTGATTACATTTGTCAAATTCAATTGCAAATGTCAAAATGACGTGATGACATGATGACAAAGTGTGGCAATTTTGCTTCCTTGATGTTGGCAGCAACTTATGGTCTCTTTCCCACATTAGAGTTTTTATCCAAAATATTTACCCCCTAACTTTAATGGCGTGAAAACATATAGCCTAAAGTATAGATAGTTATTTATTTCTTGTGTACTAATTACGATATTCTCAACAGACCAAATAAGTCAGTCACACTACAAACGTGAAACACGTTGAAACATAATTGTTTCTTTGATTTGTTAGTTACGGTTTCTAGAAGTTATTGAATCAGCTGTATTATTTAGACTGATGACGTCATTTGAGTAAAAAACAACGTGATTAAATGTACAAAGTCAAAAGGTTTTAGTACAAAGTGCATTACGTGATGTAATTTAAACACTTAATCTTTGACTTCAGACGTGATATTAACTATTTAATGGGGATTTCCAAGTTTGAATCAATTATTTTTTAAATATCTTTATCTATACTATTATAATAAAACGTAAACATACATTTCTTTGTTGCCTAAGATGTCAACACTTACAACATATTTTTGAATATTCCTTTTTTTAATAAAAAGCCCTACACTTGCGTCACGCTTTAGGCTACATATTTTAACGCCATTAAACTTAGAGGGTAAATATTTTGGATAAAAACCCTAATGTGGGAGAGAGACCATAAGTTGCTGCCAACATCAAGGAAGAAAGGTTGTCATTTATGGATTTGAATTATGACATTTGACAAACATAAACAATAAAACATAGTGACTTTAATTTAATACGGATGAAGCCGCACGGTAACAGCTAGTATGTAACAAAACTACTAGATTACTATTCAAAGTATAAAAATATACAAGACTGTAAAATAGGTACAAAGCGTTATTACATAAGCATTATTTTAAAATCAAGTAATCTAATAATTACAATACATCTAATCTTAATAAAAATATTTATTTCCTTACAATTCAATTACACTATCTAATTGTCATAAAATAACAATATGCTATCATAACTAATCATTATTTGTTGGATTTTAAAAGGAAGTCGTAAATAATGTTTTCAAAGGATAAAGTTAAAAGCGTTGCTACATGACTGGTATAGTCAAACAAACATAATTGGCCAGACAGTAACGGTTTTTTTATTAAAAGTAGCAAACGAGCAACACTCAAAACAATACTAGAGGAACTTTAGATATGTTCCCGTCCTTTGAAAGGCAACACTCGATTTTTAAAGGACCCTAAGCAGTTACGGTTTGTTATCAGAAAACATGTAAGACATTAGCTTAGAGGTAGACCTATAAAGAAATGGATGGATTGCGTGAAAGGTGACATGATCAAGAAGGGAGTTATTGAGATGTCGTACGATAGAGTTATGTGGAGGACAAAAACCTGTTACGCCGACCCTACGGGAGTAGGACAAGGAGAAAGATGATGATTTAAGTCATTTACTTAGAAAATCCCTCATAAGACGATATTTGTCACAAAAAGGTACAGTAACAATTTTGATTTTTAGATTGACCTGTGAACTGATTTTAATATCTTTTCCTGGCTAGTTAAGAAATTATACTTGAAGGTAACTTACCCGCTGATGAAGAGAGCAGAAATCACAGGAGTCCATCCAGTCATCAGCACTTTCTTGGTGTACTTGTTCCTCCATACAATGAAGACCCAAAGAGGCAGCAAGCTGTAGTACACGCACATCAGAGCTATCGGTTGCCATAGAGATATTTCTGGAAAGAAAACAATAAAACCTTGTAATTCTACCAAATTTGAATTTAACTAAATCATTCGTTCAAATGCAATATAAATACTTATGAAGACTACATCAAAAGTGGTACATCGTTGAAAAATATAACTAGTATTCAGAAAGACAAGAAAATTAAATTAACCAGAAACATTAAAGAAGCAAAAGTTTACGATCACACTGCATGACAGTGACAAAACAAGGTAATAACAGAATTTTTAAGGACTTTTTTGCATATGATCTACCAAAGAGTAGAAAAATCTCAGAATTCCACTTCCAAATAGGTAAAAAACAACACAAATTGCATAAATTTCAAGACGATACACATTAGTATTGTTAAGAAAATCACTAGACCATTGACATAAGTCTCTTCACTATGACAGCTGTCAATGTCAATGAGACGTAATAGAATAGTGCGCCATTCTGGCGGAGTTAATTTTCAGTTTTATTACGCTAATTATATTACTGTTTAAAAATACATCTAAATTTAAACAATAACAGAAACCTTTACTTACTTATCTGATCGTACATGTATTGCGCGGTGACAGCAAGCACTGAGTTAGACACAATATCTCCGATAGACGCGGCCAGCGGTGTCGCCACATTGTCTGGATTCACTTTAAACTTCTGCGATCCGAAGATTACTAACACCATTACGAAATCTGGAAGAGAAATTTTATTATCAAACGAAACTTTAAACTCTGTCAGATTCTTCTAGAGTTTCTATATATTTAAGATCTGCGAGAAAAAGATAGGTCTATGTTCTTTTAAGTTGGTCTATGTTCGTAATTTAGCTGTGCAGCTTTCCCTTCCAGGTAAAAGAGTTAAGGCAAACCGAAAACAAGGTGGAAGAAAGGTGCGCAGAGACATGTCTGAGTGCTAGGTTTAGGATCAGGCAGACTTAGGTACAGTTCACTGTTTAGAGCCGCGGTATCAAGAATGCAAGTTAGCCTAATGATCGCCGAATTTTAAAAGAAGATGGCACTTTAAGAAAAAGACTAAGACCTAGCGAAGTGGGGAAGATTGATAAAGAAAGCCGACATCACAATATATTGGACACCGGGTAGAGAGAGAGATGCTTTAAATCAGTAGCGGTTTCAGCGACAATAGCATCCAGGGGAGGGGAATTCTTACGTGGAGCCCCTTTTTATAAACAGACATGTCTGTAATTATGTCCAATGTCCTGGACGGTTTTTAACGGCATCCTTCTTTAACGTCAAAACTTCTTATAGAACGTTTATCTGTATTATGAATCCTGGATTAAAAAAGCAAATGCCTACTGGTAGTCAATATCAAAATCTGTTTGCTTGTATACACTTTGAAGGTAAAACAGACTGACTAACCTAAGACGAAGCACGTTGTTGTCGCGGTGAAGACAGCAGAGGCGATGAGAAGCAACACAAAACTGCCGTTGAATGCTCGGTCGGTTATTGCGTTGACCACTATAGCGAACATTGAGACAACCGTAGCAGCTACTATTGCTTGTACCTAGAAAGATAGAGATAAAAGTTTTGAAGAGTTATAAGAGATATAAGAAATATAACTTAAAAACTGCACTTAGGGTATAGATAAGCAGACTTTGGAGTATATCAGAGCACGAAGAAATTATAGTTGAGATCAGTATTTTATTGTCAACAAGTTTGTGTTTTATGATTGTACTAGGCTAGTGTAGTTTATGGTAGACTCCGAGATTCTCAATGGGAATCTGTTGTTCACTTCTAAGTTTATTTGGCTACATACTGAGGTACCAACTAAATGCATTATTAATGAGGTCATCAAATATGTTAATCACTTGGAACATCACACTAGTCTGTGCAGAACATAATTTTATGTGTACCGGGGCATAAAGGGATACGGCAGTAGGACCTCCTAGATACATACTTTGGGCTCAATAGATAAGCTTTTGAGGTCCTCTACAAAGCTTTTGATACGTCTACTAAGAATCACTTGCATGAGCATTTACCTGAACTAGTGATATGTTTCCGACAACCATAGAAATGACTTCCCGTGGCGTTTCCATGTTACCGAGATTTGCTTGCGTTGATAGTCGTGATGCGAGGCACATGTCCAAATTACCTAAGGACAAACATAATAAGAAATTAATTTAATTCTTTCATTTATATTGTCATCTCTTATATTAACTTTAAAAGAATTGAGATAACGATATCTGTATAGTTGTTTTTGCATAGAAATTTATATTCATGTTAATATTTTATCTTACTAAAATTAGTTACTAGCTTTCGCCCGCGACTCCGTCCGCGTGGCATTAAAAAAAACAAAACTAAGTAGCCCATTTGTTTTTCCAGCTTATCCTCTACATCTATATCAAATTTCGTCGATATCCGTTCAGCCGTTTAGGCTACAAACTCTAACAAACATCATACTTCATACTATAATAATATTATAAATGCGAAAGTTTAGATGGATGGATGTTTGTTAGAGTTTGTAGCCAAACGGCTGAACGGATCGTGATGAAATTTGTCATAGATTAGTAAGAATATATTTCTAATATAACTGACCGTAACCACAGCGTTCTTATCGAGCCAGATAAGTCCGTGGGACTATAATTTAGCCTATCGATATAATTTTATTGCATGTTCGTTTATTTCCTATTGAATCACGTGCTGCAGTACTTGTCCTTGTTATTTATTAATGAAATATTTTAATCAGTAGACAGATTTTGTGATTACGTCGTCTGGAAGCTTAGTATTATCAAAATGGTATTTAAAACATAATTTACGACATCCTGGAAACGCAGTTAACCGATAACGTATTGATATGCTGTAAATAAAACTTATGTAAAAATAGGTTTTTCCCGAGAATTAACTTCGGAAGTAGACTATGTTCAAAATCTGTGTTGTTGTTCAATAACGGACATGTTAAGCAGTTTTAAAGATACTTAGTAAGAAATATCCATCCGTCCATGCACACTTACAATATTTATAACATAAGTAAGACGAATAAATTTTTTTAAGTCAAGACGAGGACACGAAAATATGTTTTTATAAATTGTTACTATAGGGTCTAATTCTATCTCTATGTTTTTACTATATCATACTAGCTTTCGCCCGTGACTCCGCCCGCTTTACTCTAGCCTATGTGTTCTTCCAGACTATCCTGTACGTCTATGCCAAATTTCATAGAAATCCGTTCAGCTGTTTAGGCTACAAACTCTAACAAACATCCATCCGTCTAAACTTTCGCATTTATAATATTAGCATGAAGTATGAAGTATGACACTAGCTGTTACTGATTGCGTCCGCGTGGAATTAAAAAAATAGCCTATGTTACTCACTGATTATTTAGCTTTTTAATAGATGCAAAAATACAACTCTTTCCTCTTTATTATATTAGTATATATTGTATATTTTATCGTCACATTAGTAACCCTAGATCAAAATAGGGGGGAGGAGCTGCTCACATAAAAGTCTTATGCAATCTATCCTGTCTATCGGCTTTAATTAGCGTAGTAACATAATTATTTATTTTATTAATCCATGACGGTATTAACAATTGAATATCTCTATTATTGTTATAAATAACAATAATGAAAGTCAAACAGAAATAGAAACCGGAAAACAAAGGATCAAAATAATAAGATAAATCATTCTTGTCATAACATTAATTGTTTACTTTCACACGACTCGTGTAATTAATGTAGGTCCTGTGTCATTCTGATACGAGTAATTTATGTCACCGACAAACTGTAAACATCGTTCGTTTGTCAATTTACTAGACAGTCGAACTAAAGACCGCGCGCACCTTTGATAAACTATCCCATAACTGTTTAGTCGCGCTTTGAATCCTATGTCTCCATTACAAAATAAAATGTACATTGTCACAATATAATTTTGACATAAGCAATTGATAACCTGACACATTTAAATAACAAAATAATATTTTAGTGCGCATTGGCAGAAATCACGAATTAAATACACACAGGGTATGATTTTATGTTTTATGTGCTGGATTTTTGTGTCGAAAGTAGAAGTGTTTTTAATTTAAATTTAAAAGAGTTAACAGATTTCAAATTTCTAATTGGAGGTGGAAGGTCATTCCAGCACTTAGTTGCGGCAAATCGAAAGCTGCCTCGGAAGGCAGCCGTATGGTACGTGGGGTAATTAAGTCGTGGTGCTGTCCTAATGCAACGTTGTGAGAAGGTTAACTTTTCATATAAATAAGAGGGTTCGCCTGATTTGATTACTCCAAAAAGCAACGTGGACATGTGTAGGGTTCGTCGACTGGCCATGTTCATAAGGTTGTGCCGGTTAAGAAAGGGAGAGACATGAGATCGCCGTGGGACAGAAATATAATCGTCTGTTTTGATAATTTTGTCACTAATAGAGCTTCTTTTTACTAACTTTTCAGGCTACGCTAGGCTATATTTAATTATCTTATGAAATGAATCTCTGAAATCTACAGGAATTATCATGTAATTTTGTACAGAAACATATACATAGTAAGTAATTATCTTCCATTTAACAAAAGGTATTTCGCAATACTCCCTTTCTAATACAATAGAAAGTACTTGAAAAGATAACATTGTTATTGTATATCTTAAGAGCTTTGTTTTATTGAGTTTGTCAGTTTTAGTTATTCTAAGATAATACTCTATATATTTACAAAAAACAATTCAAACTTTCCTTGATAATACTTGAAATTAAATAAGGTGAAAACTGAATAATTTTAAAACAATATTTTGTAAATTACGACAATAACTCACTATGAAACAACAAAACAACTTACTAAATATTAAACTCTAGAATGTTCTTTTCTTACTTAATTCGTATGTAATATAAAGTCCGCTACACACCTTCAGTCTTAACTGACCAGTTGGCATGTACAGTAACTCTCAGTAAAATTTTAGACTTCTATTTTTCTATATTACAAGGTAGCAAACATGAGAGCGGTCATCTGAATTCGCCAAAAAAGTGTAGCGATCGCTGCCCATATACATCCGCAATTTTTCTTCCGTTGCGAAATCTAATCAACTGAGAGGGAGACGCACATAAAGAGGTTAGTTCCCCATCCTATGCGCCTCCTCCACCACATCTTTTTCCTCCCATCCTTCTCGTGCAAGAAAATGATTGGAAATAAAAGGGAATAAAATAGGGCCTTCTAGTTTTGTCAACTCAATTATTTATCTGTACAGTTAAAACAGAAGGTGTGTAGCTGGCTTAACATTGCAAACAATACAAAACAATTGTCTATAAATTACATACATGACGTTTCTATCGTAATGGTAGGTCTTTATTATCGAAACACTTCTACATATTGCTATCTCTGTCTAACTCTTTGAATTAAACAAAGATGGCAATACATAGTAAGTCTCGCAAGTACCGGATATAATTTTATGAGTACCCACAATGTCATGTACTCATACTTATTTTAAAGGACATAGTTTATTGTTGTGACAATTGTTTCGAACTTGAATTAAGTGTTAACATGTATTATTTTCTAGTATAACTTGTCATTAAACATTAGTGTGACTAAGGACTGAACTTGTAAGGGTCCGTTCAGATAACCTGGAGCGTAGAACAGAGCAGATTTATATAGCAAATGAAAAAGAGCTTTATGTTATCAACACAAGAGTTCATTATACATTTCATCAAGAAAAAACGGACCCTAATTTGACACAGATAGTTCTGAGGTCGATATTTGAATTTCGAATTTCATATGTACAGAGCGTTCGTGAAACTAAACTATCGCACAACTGTAGTCTCGCTTTGATTCCTATGAGCTTATATGGAGGTGGGCTTTTCGATTTTTAGTTGTGCAACTAAACAGTTGAATTGGCTGCAAAACAATCGACAATCGCACAAAGATTGTCGATTGGTTAGTCAAGGGTGTGCGCCCGATCTTATAAGACGATTTTATGCCTCGTCACCTCTAAGATTCGATTCTAATGATATGCGTATGTTATGTAGAATATTTCAGTATTGCAAACATAAGAATTGTATTAAAACAACATACCTTTTAAACCAGAGAGGGACGGCACTAATACAAAGATCGCTGATACATTTTGAAAAACTTCCCAGTTCTGAAACCAATACAAAATATAGATTAAAAATTATACAATTTATAGTAAAACTACTGGATAAAAACATTAGAAATGGCAATAAATATATTAAACCCAACATTTTATTGAATACAACTTCGCCCGCGTGAAATTAAAAAATATAGCATATGTCACTAACAGATAAATTACCATTCTAACAGTGAAAGTATTTTTAAAATCGGCCCGGCAGTTTTTGAGTTATTATTATAGTTATTCAATACATACAAAAATACAAATCTTTCCTCTTTATAATATTAGTACAAACAACTATTTTCTTACAATAGTAAGCATATAGAATAGTTCCATAGCATTCTCTTATCTTAATTACATTCATGTAATTTCTAAAACAAACGTCCATTATTAATTGAAAACTGATGGATGATATCGATAAGTTGATAGCAAGTGCACTACTCACTAGTTTACCGTTTTCGATAATAGATGGCGCTTTTTTAAATAAAGCAAATTTAAATCGCTTATAAATCTGATAGCTGTTCTCGTGCGGCTTCATCCGCATGAAATTGTAATTGTCAAATGTTAAAATTCAGATGCGTAAATGACAACCTTGCTTCCTTGATGTTGGCAGCAACTTATGGTCTCTTTGCCACATTTGGGGTTTTATCCAAAATATTTACCCCCAAAGTTTAATGGCGTGAACATATATAGCCTAAAGCGTGACGTAAGTGTAGGGCTTTTATTAAAAAAATAATTTTTCAATAATATGCAGTATTTGCTGACACCTTAGGCAACAAAGAAGTGTGTGTTTACGCTTTATTATAATAGATTATGCGCTTTATGATTATGAACTGCATAATCTAAGATAGCAATAAGAAAAGTACGAACAAAACGAATGCTTAAAAAAGATCTGTTTATATTAACATTCGCGACAAATTTTGCCTATTCTTACATATTACACAAACAAATTTAAAATCATGTTAAATGTATAAATCATTTCCTACATGTTTCATGTCAGTTTGTAAAATATTCAGATCGATTTAAAAATGATAAAATTAGCAATTGATCGGTAACTCGGTACTTACTCTGACACTCCCGAGAACTAAGCCGGCTCCGATAGTCCCTGCGCCTGCGATGAAGAAGGGTACAGCCACTTGCATTAACGTTGTAAACCATCTTTCTTCTTTCTTCTGCAAAAAAAGAAGAGTTTGAATAAATACATCTATAACAAAAGCTGTATTTGAGCGGTTGATAAAAATTCGTCAAAAACGTGATAGAAAAAAAAACGATTAGGCAATAAAAGTTCTTGCTAAGTAGACCTTAAAGGATATATCAAGAATATTTAAGTGACAGTCGTTAGAACATATTCGTAACGTTATCGACAAAACTTGTATGAGATTTGTTGGCGTTAGCTCTGTTGAAGCTATGAACGTAACGGAACGTTCTCACGAACATTTGTAATAATCCCCCAGTGTGTCAAACAATGAAATGTAGTTTCGATGTCAAACAGATCAAAGCACTTCCATTCACAACTAATTTCTCACGGACTTTGACGCACATAATTTCTCCTACGCAGTTAAAGAATCCCAGCGTTCGGATATATTGTTAACTAGCTGTTCCCGTGCGGCTTCTCGCGCATGAAATTATTATATAAAAAATTTATTTTATTGTTTACATCTGTCAAATTATCAATTACAAATGTCAAAATGACAACCTTGCTTCCTTGATGTTGGCAGCAACTTCTAGTCTCTTTCGCACATTAGGGTTTTTATCCAAAATATTTAGCCCCTAAGGTTAATGGCGTGAAAATATATAGCCTAAAGCGTAACGTAAGTGTAGGGCTTTTTATTAAGAAAAATAATTATTCAAAGATATGCTGTAATTGCCGACATCTTAGGCAACAAAGAAGTTTGTGTTTAAGCTTTATTATAATAGTATAGAAGTGTAGGTAATGTTATAGATTCATCATAATTTTAACCGCATGTTTTACATTTAAAAGCAATGTATTTCATCATTTTTATAGCTTTTGCCAGCGACTCAATCCGCGCGGCTTTAAACAATTATAATTGACTATCTGCTACATCTATGCCAAATTTCTTAAAGAGATGTCGAGCCGTTCTGTTGATTAGGAGCGTCGGTGGCTCAGTGGAGGAACGTCGGTGGCTCAGTGGTTTAAACACTTGACTTGTAATCTACAGGTCTTGGGTTCGAATCCCGCCGTGTACCAATGTGAATATCGGTTTTTCGAATTTTCATATGTACATTATTTAACCGACGTTCTTACGGTGAAGGAAAACATCGTGATGCAACCTGCACATATCGGCGAAGAAATTCAAAGATATGTGTGAAGTCAACCAACTCGCACTGGGCCAGCGTGGTTGACTATGGCCTAGTCACCCCTTATTAGGTTAGGCTCCGAGCCCCTCGGTGGGGACGTATAGTGAGCTGGTGATGATGATGATGATGTTCTGTTGATAATTTCTAAAAAATATCCATCGAGACATCCACTCTCGCATTTTTATTTCTAACTATAAACAGTATAAAACAAAGTCGCTTCCCGCTGTCTGTCCCCATGTGTAATGTAGAAGACAAATATGTCGTAAATACATTATCGTATCAGTATTGAACCCGTGCGAAGCCGGGACGGTTCACTAGATACAAATATATACTAATATTATAAAAAGGAAAGATTTGTATTTTTAGATTTTTGTATGTATTGAAATAACTCAGAAAAAGTACTAACTACTAAACCACAACCTATATCAGTGAGTAATAGGCTGTTGTTTATTATTTTTGACGGACGAATACGCGAGCAACAGTTAGTAATTAGTAAAAAAGTATTTATGTATAGGTTCAAAGCAGTGGAGTTAAGTCGCAAAAACATACGTGTGTTAATTGTAATGGAAAACAAGATATGTTTAGTTAAGAAAACAGTTATTGTTAGTTATATGCACAATAGATGTCACGTTTTGAGGAAAAACGATGAATAAGACGTAAAATAAACCATCCTCGGTAAATAAAATAATACATTAACAACGGTAATGCCACACTCAGTCATAAATGTTACTTATTTTTTTTTAAATAAAATAAGGTGGCAAACGAGCACGCGGCCACCTGAATCCACCGAAATGGAAAGCGACCGCTACCCATAAACAACTGCAATTGCAGATGCGTTGCTTACCCTTGATTGACGGAGGAGGAGACGCACATAAAGAGGACATTTCCGTTCCCTTCCTACGTATCTCCTCCACCGTCAAATCCACTTCCTCTTCCCAACTTCTCCTTGTAAGAAAAGGGTGGTAAAGAAAAAGGGACTTAAATTAGGCCTCCGGCACCACACTCCTCAGACGAAACACGGAATTGCTCCCATTTCACGCCTGTCTTCTGTGTGGTCGCGGTATTACACCGGGCATGCCGGCCCTGCAGTGCTAAGATGTTAAAGCGGGCTCTACCACTGTTAATTACTAAATGCACATCTGAAAACAAACTATCGCAACTGTAGTCTCGCTTTGATTTCTATGAGCTTGTATGGAGGTGCGGTACTCGATTTTAGTTGTGTGACTAAACAGTTGAATTGGCTGTGAAACAATAGACAATCGCACAACCATTGTGCTATAGTTTAATCAGGCGTAAGAAAGGTTTAATTGAACAGTTTTTATTAATTATCATATTTATCAGTAGCAGCTTTAAATCGGATTTTGGTTTTTATAAGCGATATAATTGTAAAGATACCCGAACAGATACGAACATGTTTTTTAAAACAATGTTCAATCAATAATGTACATCACTATTGATAAATTTAATATTGATTTATATAATCAATTTATACAAATCTTTTATAATCTTAATTAATTACATACATACAGTTAAAAACATTGGAGTGTCTGTAATTTTATCATATTTCGTACACATATTTGTGTTATAACGAAAAACCAATTTCTGTCTGTCTGTTCAAGTCCGCAATTGTCACCATTATATCAAAAAAAATCTATTTAAAACTAGCTATTGCCAGTGACTCCGTTTCTTAATTTACATATAGTCATTAGTTTTATAAATAAGTTTTTATGACGAAACTTTTACTGGAAGAACATATCATCAACTTGCCCTTATCCCTAATGGAGGGTCGGCACAATATGTGCTGCTTCCATACATCTCTATCAGTCGTCATATCTGAATCCACTCCTTTCTTAAGCATATCCTCTTTCACACAATCCATCCATACTTTCTTCGGTCTTCCTCTGCCTTTGTAGCCATCCACATTCATTCTTAACACTTTCTGGTTTATGTCCCCATCGTCTCGTCGCATATGTCCATACCACGTTAACCTTTTGCTTCTCAATTTCTCCACCACTGGCTTTTGCTGGAAGCACATATGTGAGGTTGTAAATTAACGAACGGAGTTACTGGCAACAGCTTGTTTTAAATAGATTTATTTTTTCGATATGATGGTATCCTGTATATAAATTATTGACTAAGCGTAATATGATATTAAAGAGATACAGTTATCTATATCGTGTTTCTACACGTGTTTTGGTATTGGACTTCGAGTTCACGTGGCAATTTTTGTGTCTACCAACAAGAGTTTTCATTAAACACTAGGTATTCCCGTGCGGCTTCATCCGCATGAAATTATGAATTTAAATTAGTGTTTACGTTTGTCAAATTATCAATAGCAAATGTTAAAATGACAGGACATGACAAAACTTGGCAATCTTGCTTCCTTGATGTTGGCAACAATTTATGGTCTCTTTCCCACATTAGGGTGTTTATCCAAAATATTAACCCCCTAAGTTTAATGGCGTGAAAATATACAGCCTAAAGCGTGACGTAAGTGTAGGGCTTTTCTATTAAAAAAATGATTATTCAAAAATATGCTGTAATTGCTGACATCTTAGGCAACAAAGAAGTGTGTATTTACGCTTTATTATAATAGTATAGATGATTACAGGAAACGCGAGTGTTGCGTTTTTTTACAACGGTTTTGATATGCTAGTCGCTTTAGTTGTGCTAAGTAGTATTACAACTTACCCCTGACAGTGGTTGTTTCTCAGCGTCGGTCTCTGGGACCTTTTTCTCTGGATCACCTGGACTTTTCAGATCACCGTTAGAGTTTATGGACGCCATATTGAAAGCGGTGTCAGGACAGCCAATCTCATCTGGAACAAAGAACAGACATTATTAATGTTGTATCATTCTGTCTTTAAATGCTAACAAGCGCCCTTAGTGTAGATTTAGAACGCGCACACCTTTTACTAAACTACCACACAACTGTTTAGTCTCGCTTTTATTCCTATAAGCTTATACGAAGATATGCACACTATTCGATTTTTAGTCATGCAACTACACAGTTGAATTGGCCACTAACTGTTTAATTTCACAAAACAATCGAAAATCGCACTTTTAGCATAAAACATCTACTCTAAGGGGTTTTCTTACTGATTACAAATATACAGTAGTTAAAGCTGGAATATAACATAGTAACTGAGTGTACAAACCTATATTCTTAAAAACGGAAATATTGTATTCCTTTTTTAAGAAAATTGAGTTAACGGTGAGCAAATAGATTAACGTGGAGACATCATTCAGATGTGTATCTATCGATCTATTTTTTTTTATTTATTTTTACAGGGGGTGTTATCATAAATCTTAAACAAACAAAACTTAATTAACTGACTGTTTTCTTGAACAGATGTCGGCCAACTTAAACACAATCCCGGCCTCGTCCGTAGACGGGTAAGCCAGGATAGTGTTTAAGTGACCGATCAATCTATTTAAAAAAGTTATTTTGTAACATACAACCACGGGAATAATAAACACAAATCTATTAAAAGTAACGTAATAATCAATTTATAACATCTTAATACGCAACAAAGGATTATACGCGTAATTTCACATCAGTCATTATTAACAGATATTATCGGACATATGCGAATTTTAAAAATAACATACGAGACATGAGGTAAGTATTGCATAACTAAAATACTAGGATTAGAATTTAATAGTGGTAGAGCTTTCACAACTTCGCACGAATGGGTTGGCTTTTATAATACCACGACCACACAGAAAACAGGCGTAAAGTGTAAGCAATTCCGCGTTTCGTCTGATGAATGTGGTGCCGGAGGCCTAATTTTATTCCTTTTTCATTACCACCCTTTTCTTAAAAGGAAAGGATGGCATGGAAAAGTGGATTTGACGGTGGAGGAGACGCATAGGAAGGGGAAATGTCCTCTTTATGCGTCTCCTCCTCCGTCAATTAAGAGTAGGCAACGCATCTGCAATTGCGGATGTTTATGGGCAGCGGTCGCTTTCCATTTCGGTGGATTCAGGCCGCTTGCACGTTTGCCACCGTATATAATATATAAAAAAAATTAATAACTTCAACTGCTACGTCATGTCAGCCATGACCTAATCAAAGTTAAGGACACTTCAAAATTCCATATCTATGAGATTCTTATTAGCTTCGCGCTCGAGTGCATTTGATATTGTGAGTTGATAATAAAAACTCTTTGTTTACAAGAACATTATTTTCTATCAAAAACTGCGATCTAAAAGATACCAGACTTAAAAAGTTGAATCTGTTTTTGTTAAACTAATCCCCACTTGCTCTGAACCTACCCTAAGTAAGGGATAATTAGGCCCAGTGCAGGTTGACTTCATAACTTATTCCATAGGATGTTTTCATTTATTATTACAACTTCAAACATATGGAATTGGAAACTCGGAAAACACTACATGGCGGGATTCGAACCCAAGATCTATAGATTACAATTCAAGTTAACTCCTGAGCCACCGAGGTTCGATAATTATGTTTAAAAAATAATAATCAATCAGGTTAACAAACTTTTTAATATTTACTTTTGTAGAGGCCGCGCACGTGCCACGTGACAGTTATCGCTGCACGTTGGACACAAATATGACCCAGAGATTGTCGCCTATAAACAAATGACAATCAAACTTACAAGGGCATAATATCCACTTAGTTACAATATCGTTTTAGTATAAAACTAGCTGTTGCCCGTGACTATTATGATAATAAGTTGCATATAATATGCCCGTCTATGTCAGCTACCCTTCAGTGAAAGTACGGTCGAAATCGCCCCAGTCTTTATGGAGATTGCCCGAAACATACGTGGATTACGGATAGATAGACAACAAAAAAAATATGATTTTGTTATCTCCAACGCAAATATATCATTTTCTCGAAATCTGAAAATGTTCGTTTAATCTTACAAACAGACATTCCAATTTCATTATATGTATAGATAGATACAGATCATTTTGTCATAGAATTATTTCCAGATTATCTCATTAAAAGATATTTTATTTATTCCAGTCTGATGAGGAATATAAAACTCCTTGCTATATTGAGCACGAAATTCCGAATTTCAAGAAGGCGATTGAAACACCAATCCTGCCCTCAGATTCATTTAAACTTAGTTAGACTATAATCTTATCGCTAATTATTGGTTGAATGATAACAAATGTACCTATTTATAATATGAAATTTCATGATGAAATTATGTTTTGAAAATGTTGTTTATTTTAACATATGTTATTGATATAAACGTAAGCTATCAATCTTGGATTCTAACCTATGATCTACTCGAGATCTCAGTTATTTACTATAGTAAAATGATTAGCTTACTATCGTCCCTGATGAGGAATCAAAGTCGACCCTAAGTTACAAGAGACTAAGCCATAGTCTACACGAGAAATTATGCGGGTTGACTTAACACATATCTTCAAATTTTTTTACCTATAAGTGCATGTCGTATCATAGTTTTTCATCACCTTAAGAATTACGTGTAAATAATGAAAAATCGACAATCTGTAAACACATTGGTTAAAGGCGGGATTCGAACCCAGGACCTGCAGATTACAAGTCAAATACATAACCCCTGAGCCACTAATATTGTCACGTTTGTAGTTAAAATCTATTATGAAACTTAAAATTTTCACTGAGAATTGCAAAATATAGAAATACCTACCTTGAAAATAATCGATTTGTTCGGTGTCAATCGATCAAGGTTAGAATAATTGCAAATATAGTTACCCAGAATAATATAGCCGTCCATTCTTCTCCAATATTTTTGGATGGCCATCTCGACGTGAGCACCGACGTCTACAAGCGACATTATCGTGTAACAACTATCTTCTTGCAATAACAAAGCCAGACTACCGATTCATTGCGTTGGGATCAACGAAAATCAATTGCGGAATAACTATTTCCTTATGAAAAACATTTCTGGTTAGTAACTAATACGCAACAAAGATTAAGTTACAAATGTCAATAAATACATTTAACGGAGAACGCGAAGAAGGTTGTAATCACATTTTTTAACAATATTAATTGGATACGATTGCAATTTACAAAGTATAATTAACATAAAAACACACTTTTATAATTAAATCTATCTGTGACAACGCGGTAAACGATTTTGAATTACATTTTTGGTTTTAAAATAAACGAAGAGAACTCCAACTGTCAAACACGGCACAGATTATACTACGAACGTCAGATGCAATACTTTTTAGAGATCGCGAACAAAAAGTTTTTAATTTATTTGACAATGTTTACAGTGTGCTGGCATACTGTAAAATGAATACATTCACTTTTAGAGCAAAGTTTGAATAACAATCTCCAATGAGGGTCAAACGATAATAACAAATTACCCAGTTTGCTTTTAATAATGAACTTTGTTTGTGCTAAGATAAGGTAACTCTCATGTGTTGATTTAATGACTGCGTAATTAAATAGTCAGATTGTGTCAGGAAAGTTTTTTTTATGAACGAAGTTAAATATTAATCTGCCGAGATAATTCATAGAATTTTATGTAATTTTTATTTGTACAGATATTTTAGGGTTGTCAAAGTAAACTCAGAATAATTTGAAATAGTGTGTGCTCATTTTTTAACTGACTTGTGAAGTAAAAAATTTAAAAGTTGCGCGCAAATGTCGCGCGGTTCTCAGCTTCCAGTGAAAACAGATACTAAACATAAAACAGAAGTTTTTTTCTCGTTTGAAATAAAACGAATCACCATACTTTAGCTACAATTTAAAAATGCTCCATAAGTATTGTTTAAAAGTTTCTTAGAAAACCAATCCGAATTTTTTACGTAAAAATAACAAAATCGCACTTAGAATACAAAGATCGATTCGTTTTAAGGAATTTGACTTTAAAATTGTATCAAAAACTTAGGATGCATTCGTAAATACTATAAAGATAATGTCTTAACTTAACATTTATGCCAGTTTTCGGTTGTTTTAATTCATAAAACGTATTGTCTCAATATTGCTATCAGAGTATTCGATATCGATACAATTGCAGATGAATGGTTGACAACACTATTTGTATTGTTATCGACAACAGATTACGATTCTTAATAGATAACAAACTTATTTATTTTGTCGACTATCACTTGGACATGTTTGTTAGAAGATTTATCATAATGATAATTATTAATTAATAAACATTTTCATGTATTTAAACATTCCAGGTAAATTAATTACAGGTTAACATTTTTTTTGGTGTTTTCGTCTCCCTCATTCTTGTTGGACAAGAAAGAAACAACTATATTTACTAGTGACTAACTGTTCCCGTGCGGCTCCACTCGCATGAGATTATTAAAATTTGATTTTATTACTTACATTTGTCAAATTATCAATATCAAATGTCAAACTGACATAACAAACCTTGGCAATCTTGTTTCCTTGATGTTGGCAGCAACTTATGGTCGCTTTCCCACATTAGGGTTTTTATCCAAAATATTTACCCCTAAGTGTAATGGCGTGAAAATATATAGCCTAAAGCGTGACGTAAGTGTAGGGCTTTTTATTAAAGGAAGAGTTATTCAAAAGTATTCTGTAATTGCTGACATCTTAGGCAACAAAGAAGTGTGTGTTTACGCTTTATTATATTAGTATAGATTGCGTATTGGTCCAAATTAATCATATTGCATAATATTTTTTTAAATAAAAATACAACTTGTCCACATTATGACTTTCACGTTCCTGTTCGCGCAGTTTCCTTCACATAAAATGTTTAAATGTTTTTAAGTTCTAAGTTCAGGTCATAAATAATTGAACCTTTGAGGTACAGTTACTTAAAATTAGCAATTTTCTAAACTACAATAGTTGTATTCAACTTCCGTGGTATTTTCCTAATTCTGTATATAATTATTGTGAATCTAAACTGCGGTATTAAAAAGCCATTTACATGTAGGAAATGGTTGGTGTTTATGAGTTAAACGTAGTAAAATGGCATCATTATAAAAAAAATGACTTTAAGTTGACGCAGAGTCGTTTATATATATTTTGTTATACACAAAACGGATCTTGATGAAACTTGGCATTAATACATAACAAAATGTGAAAGAACGCATAGGCTATTAATTTTTATTCCGCACTGTTTTAACCCTTTCCAATGGGAATAAATGGCAGTCAACAAATCTTACTAATATTAGAATTTAGATGGATGGATGGATGTTTGTAAGAGTTTGTAGTCTAAACCGTTGGACGGATTTCGAATTTACTTTTTTAATGTTTATTCGATCATTCTGCAACGGTTCAACATATCTTATTGAAATTTGGCACAGATATAAAACAAAATCTGAAGTACGCATGGGATAAGCTTCATCTCCGAGAAATGTCCGGTTCCCGAGGGATACGTAGCTTTTTGTTATTTATATAGTTGGTATGTTTTCTAATACCACGCGTACGAAGTCGCGGGCAACAGCTCGTTAAGCATAAAGGAGTCTAAACGAGACTAAATAGTTGGGCGTTAGTTTTGTCAAGGTGCACACGCACAAGACTAATCAAATAGATTTTATCTTTTTTATATAAATTTGGCGTTAAGAATTATCTATGTGAAACGCAAAATCGAAACATTTCGTCAGTCGATTTAGATTTTAATTATCGATATTATTTATTTATAAAATACTGTAACCATAGGTAACATCGTTATCAAAAGATTACCTCTAAGGCTGGACATACACGAAGTGCATGCACGATTTTTATCGATGACTAAAAGCGAGCGCAGCTTTGAGTAAATTATCGCGTAACTGTTGTGCGGTTGTCGATTGTTTCATCCCATTCTGTTGCATAACTAAAAATCAAGTAGCGCACCTCCATATAAACTCAAAGGAATCAAAACAAGACTAAACATTTGTGCGACAGTTTAGTCAAAAGTGCGCACGATCTAAAAACAAACTAAGTACTAACTAACTTTTAACAGTGGTAGTGCCCGCTTTAACATCTTAGCACTGCAGGGCCGGCACGCCCGGTGTAATACCGCGACCACACAGAAGACAGGCGTGAAATGGGAGCAATTCCGTTTCGTCTGATGAGTGTGGTGCCGGAGGCCTAATTTAAGTCCCTTTCTCTTTACCACCCTTTTCTTATAAGCAGAGGTTGGGAAGAGGAAGTGGATTTGACGGTGGAGGAGATGCGTAGGAAGGGGAAATATCCTCTTTATGTGCGTCTCCTCCTCCGTCGTATAAGAGCAACGCATCTGCAATTGCGGATGTCTATGGGCGGCGGTCGGTTAGCCATTTTGGCGGTTTCGGGTGGCCGCTTGCTCGTCTGCCAACTTAAGTTATAAAGTAATAAAATGACTTGAGACTTACCGCTGATGGTAAAAACTGGGTTTCCGTTAATGTGGGGCGAATAATCTTCCACTTTATCTGACGGTTTGACGACATCGAGGGCTCCAACCATGCCTGTATAAACAAAAATGTACTTTATGACCGTTGTTTTTAAAATCAAATTCAAGTTATCTTTAACATGAGAAAGCGTGCATTGTTGATTCGATTGAAGGCTTGTTTTGCAAAATCTAGCTTTCGAACCTTAGTACATATAAATATGTTATATTATAGCATGGATGTAAGGAGGGATATTGTGAAAGAGGATATGCAGGGTGGATAAGAAGGGTGTGGATTAGTGGTTTAATGGAATGAATTAATGGTGAAAGCATTTTTGAAATCGGCTCAGTAGTTTTTGATTTTTTTCAATACATACAAAAATACAAATCTTTCCTCTTTATAATATTAAGCATTTAGTATGTTTATGAAATCTATATATATATATACATATAATAAAGTATAATATAATAGTTGCAGTGTTTGTTTGTAATATCAAAAGAAAATTCCAGATTTCGGTAAGATCAGGTATTTGCGTTGGTGATAACAAAGACAGTAAATAAAATTGTTTTGTCTGTCTGTCCGCAAGCCGCGTTTGTTCCGGGTTATATCCTAAACGGCTAGACCGATTTCGACCAGACTTTCACTGAAGGAAAGCTGACATAGACGGGCATATTATAGGGCACTTTTTTATCTTAATATTGCGTGAACGAAGTCACGGGCAACAGCTAGTGATAAATAAAATAAAGTTGATTGCACCTTTAACTCGATAAATATAGGAAGACGGAGACGGCTTATCGGATAAAACATATTAAAAGTATTGTTGATTGATTTATTAATAAAATAACCCAATAAGACGTTTTTTTAATAATCCTTGATATGAAAATCAATAATTCTCTAAAGTGGATTATTATTATAATAATCCGATCCGTCATCGATTTTATTTTAATACAAGCTTTCGCCCGCGACTCCGTCCGCATGGAATTAAAAAAAAAACAAAAGTGAATAGCCTACGTGTTCTTCCAGACTATTCTCTACATCTATACCAAAATTCATCGAAATCCGTTGACCCGTTTAGGCTGCAAACTCTAACAAACATCCATCCATCTAAACTTTCGCATTAATAATATTAGTACGATGCGTCAGCGGCATTAGAGCCCGCACACCATTGACTTAACTGTTGTATAACTGTGTAGTCTCGCTTTGATTCCTATGATTTATATGGAGGTCTACTACTCTATTTTTAGTTGTACAACTAAACAGTTGAATTGGCTGCGTAACAATCGACAATCGTACAACGATTGTGCGATAATTTAGTCCAAGGTGCGCTCTTAAAGTCACTCAGTGTATACGATCGTTTCAACATAAGTTATCATTTTATAGATCGATATAGTAATTAAGTTTTTACTACGGCAGTGAAATCTTAGATCGAAGCCGTACAAAGGTTAAGACTTGAGGTCATTGTATTTAGGTTAAAAAGTAAACTTGTCGACAAGGTGAAAGCGAAAATATCTTTTTAATAAAGAAATGCCGATGTTATTTTAGAGATACTTAAAAACAAAATATATACAAAAGTATATTATTTATATTCACACTATTATAATAAAGCGTAAACACACACTTCTTTGTTGCCTAAGATGTCAGTAACTACAGCATATTTTTGAATAATTCTTGTTTTAATAAAAAGCCCTACACTTACGTCACGCTTTAGGCTATATATTTTCACGCCATTAAACTTAGGCGGTAAATATTTTGGATAAAAACCCTAATGTGGGAAAGAGACCATAAGTTGCTGCCAACATCAAGGAAGCAAAGCTGCCATGGTTTGTCATCATGTCATGTCATTTCGACATTTGCAATTGATAATTTGACACATGTAAACAATAAAATAAAATTTTCATAATTTTATGCGGATGAAGTCGCACTTGGACAGCTAGTTATTT